CTAACTGATCTCTCTGGTCAGGGCTAACAAGAACTCTTGATGCATAGGAAAGGTGAAACAAAAAGTCTATAGGAAAAATAAGCAGATAGAAAATGCCAGAGAGGAGAAAGGGAAAAAGAATAAGTTAATGTGATGAGGAAAGAAGTACATAACAGTTATTTTCCATTTGTTCATTCCTCTGCTATACCTCAATCTTATAGTGGGTCTCTGGACTTTCTTATAAAATATAGCCTTTGAAAAAAAGTAATATATTTAAAACTATAACTTATATTTTAAAAATTATAGTTTTGAGTGTAAATATCCATATCCATTTAATAGCTGTTTTTAAAATTGGATACCAAAAAATAGAGGATACAAAAATATATATATGCTAGCTTTGTAGAGGATACAAAAATATATAAATCATATTCTCTATTCTCCAAAAGCTAAAATTTGCCCTAAGAATTGAAATAGGTTCCTGTAGGAGCACAAGCTAATTCTCTATAAATGAATTAGTTGATTTGATCTCACTGCTATAAGACAGTATATCCAAATTGTCCAGTCGTAGAACAAATCAACACCAGTCAAGCCTTTGGATGACTGCAACTCTGGTTGGTATCTTGACTGTAACATCATTGGGAAACTCTGAGTCACAACCACCCTCCAAAGTTATACTTTAATTTTTAAACCCAAGAAACTGTGAAATAATAAATATTTATTTTCTTATTTCAGAGCCTTTGTGTTTTGTTAAGTAGCAATATGTAACTAATATACCAGTTTTTAATAATAATCATTTATAATCTTCATAGTATTCAGTGACAAATCTGAATAACTGTCACAAATATAATACAATTTTATAGTAATTCAGACATTTTAAATAACTGAAATACTCTATGCAATATTTATTTCATTTCTTTTATTGACAAATGTAACATTGAGTCTTTGTATGTGTAGGTGAAAATGTGCATTTCTGTGTGTGTGTGTGTGTGTGTGTGTTTATGTGAAAATGTGAATGGACTTTAAATTTAATTGAATTTTTATATCATTCTATATTTCAATGTAATGAAACTCTAATTTACAGAAGAGCAGCCACACTGCTGCTAGGCAGAATGTTATTAAAAATGTATATCAACCCAAAAATCTATTGAAGTTTCTGATATATTTATAGTCTGAATTGAGGGATCCCTACCCAAGATTGGCTACACCATGGGCTATGTGACATGTTTTGTGTGTTTATTAATTGAATTTATTGGGGTAACTAGTTAATATAATTATGTAGGTTTTAGGTGTACAATTCTAAAATATACATCATCTGTATATTGTAGAGTCTGTTCTCCACCTCAACTCAAGTGTCCTTCCATCACCATTCATCTGTTACCTTCTACTGCCCCATCTCCTTTTCCCTCTGTTGTCTGTATCTATGAGTTTTGTTTTGTGTGTGTGTTTTTCCTTAATCTCTTCACTTTAAAACACCTATTTCTCAAATCTCTTTTAGTAGTAAACAGTACCACATACAATAACTCATGGTTAAGTGATAGACTACCTCCTGAGCCCCTCTCTACTGCCATGGTTGTAGAATAGTCAGACCACACTTGATCCTCAAAGACTCCAGATGATTTTATGGCAGAAGGAAGCCTAGAGGTTGTAGCAACTCCATCCCCATCAGGGTAGCCAATGTCTCTGGGCACTCCCATTATTCAACAGCACACTAGTGTGAACTGCATATCAGGTGGAGACATATACTCAGAACTTCAGAAGACAAGGTACTCCTTTTGTATTTGTCTTTTCAGGCTTCCATATTCAAATAACACAGATTGAGTAGCTTAAACAACAGATTTATTTTCTCACAATTCTGGAGACTGGGAATCTGAGATCGGAGTGCCAGCATGAATGATTTCTATTGAGGCCTCTCTTTCTGGCTTGTAGATGATAACATTTTGATGTGTGCTCACATGGTCTTTTTTTTTTTCAGTATGTGTGCATGGAAAGACTGAGTAAGTGAACTCTCTTATGTTTCTTTTCTTTGTATAAGGAAACTAATTCTCTTAGATCAGGACCAATTTATTTTTCTACTTTTTGTTTGTTGGTTTCTTTATTTTTACATCCTCAGTTTTTTTGTTCTCTGTTTCTTTTTCCTTGTCTTTAGAACTGTTCAAACATTTTTTTATAGTCCACTTTATTCTATTTTATTTTATAGTCCATTTTAATGTATTTGTTGGATTTTTAGGTGACTCTATTTGAGTTATCTTTAGTTTCTCTAGAAATTATAATATAAATATTTTTACTATTGTAACACTAAAATAAAATACAGGAAGAAAAGAGCTTAAGTGGTCTATATGGTCATATGGTTTTTTATGTGAAGTGATACCTTTAGTGATATAATTTTTATTCACATGACATGTTTCAGATTTATATGTGGCTTTGCAAGGTTGTGTTACAATTCTCTGGATTCTTTTATGAATGTTGATATTTATGTTTTAACAGGCTATTAAAATTTACTTACTTTTGTTCATTCATTTATATATATATGATATATATATGATATATATATATATATATATATATATATATATATATATATATATATATATATATATATATATAAATGTTAGCCAGATGTTAGGATCTAATCCAGCAAATTGACTACTTCTTTAAGTTTTAATTTCTTTATCTGAAAATGGAGATAACAGTTATTTATACTTACCTCATAAGTTTATTGAAAGAACAAAATGAGCTCCTAAAACTCCTAGAGTTTTTTAAGTGATAAGAGAAGAACAACAAAGATGTCTTTTTTTGCTAGATTAATTTTGGACTATGCCTAAGAATGGGACTAGTTGCCAAGAGATTGAAGATATGATTAGAGGATTGGAATTTAGTCTCACCCCTGACCCCTGAGGAGGAGAGAGGGGCTAGAGATTGAGTTTAGTTTGCCAATATTCATTGATTTAGTCAATTATGACTATTTAATGAAACCTCCATAAAAACCCAAAGGGCTCAGAGAGTTTCAAAATTGGTGAACATGTGAAGATTTCAGGAAGAATAGTATACTTATAGAGAGCATGGAAGCTCCACACTCTTTCTTCATACCATGCCCTATGTGCCTTTTCTATGTGATGTTCCTGATATATATATATATAGAATCTAGTAAGTAAAGTGTTTGAATTTTCTGAGCCACTCTAACAAATTAAGTGAACCCAAGGAGGGGGTCAGTAGAACTGCCAATCTATAGTTGATTGATCATCATAACCTGGACTTGCAATTGATACCTAAAGCAGGGGTGCACAGTCTTATAGGACTGAATCCTTTAACCTGTAGTGTGTGACAATATCTCCAAGTAGATAGTGTCAGAATTGAGTTGAATTGTAATATACCCAGCTGGTTTCAGTGCACTGCATGGTTGTGTGGGAAAACCCTCCCACCCCTACACAAATTGGATTTGGTGACCAGAACCTTTAGTAATTTATTTCAATTGTATTTTCTATACCTGATCTTTTACTCTTAGTCAGTTTTTCTATGCCAAAATTCACATATAAAATCAAATTACACTAAACAGTGCTATTTCTATATAATTTCCCCAGCCCATACCCTATTTACTATAGACCTGAAACTCTGGCTTTGTTCCTCTGTGTCTCTAGTAATTTGCTTTGGGTCCAAACTCTTTTTAATGCGCTTTTATTGATTTTAGAGAGAGAAGAAGGGAGGGGGGAGAGAGATAAAAACATCAATGATCAACAATTGGCTGCCTCCTGCACACCCTCTATTAGGGATTGAGCCCGCAACTCAAGCATGTGCCTTGATCTGGAATCAAACCGATGACCTCTTGGTTCATGAGTCAATGCTCAACTACTGAGCCACACCAGCCTGGCCCAAACTCTTAACACTTATTTATGGATACTTTAGCCTTATATCCTTTTTTACTTGATAAGACTTGGTTCTCTAACTCTAAACATTGCTTCCTTTTCTAATGTTGACATTCCTGTGGCCTCTATTGAAAAATCTTACCTGTTCTCTTTTTTCCCACTTCCTGCCCAGACCACAGGTCCTGCCATTCTTTATGGAGACCTTAATTTTCATAAAACCTCCACCATCAGATATGATATATAAAGACTTTAGAAGAATCTTCTATTAGAAAAGATAAAAGACTTATATTACAATTAGCAAGATGTAATTTTAATAAAGTCAAACATGAAAACACCTGTTTCTGTGGTTAATCAATATAACTTTTTAACCAGTATTTGCCACTAAATTCATCAGTAGGCTTGTCAGAAAATATTACATCAGTTAGGATTTCTATGATACAAATAGACTCAGAAATTTTTTATTGATTTGCCATTTATTTCTGATTTCCATAAAGTGTGAATTATATAATTCTTATCAGTGAGTAGTTTTTCCAAGCAAAGATTCAGGGAGATAGGGTCCTCATACCTTATGTAACTACCATCTTCGAGGTGTGTAGTGGATCAGAATAATAAAGAAGGAGGAGGCATGTTTGTTTCTAAATACCAGAAATGATATATATTACTCCTGCCACACTCTATTGGAAAGCATTTAGTCTCATAGTCACAATAATAGCAAAGGAAGCTGAGATATTTGTTTCCTTTGTGTGTCCCATGAAGAGAAAACAACATTGTTGTCAGCTATTAGTCTCCACCAGAGTTAAGAAAAACAAGATAAAACAGATACAGAGTTCTTTGCAAATGGAGATAGCTATATGTAAAAATAATATGTATGATTAAGTATAAGATACTGCTATTGAGTCAGTGCAAGTTAAATAATTGAAAAAGATAATATAGGAATCATTGAATTTCTGTGTTAAAATATTTGACAGTGATTGTCTTTTTAAAATCACTATTGATTCACAAATTGAAAAGGAACATTAGTTTAGAAAAATACTTCTTAATATAAATAAATAATAGGTTCTTGTGAATTTTATTAATATATCTTTCAAAACAATTGAGACAGACAATAAACTGTGGTTAACACTTATATCATGCATTGTATTTGTCTGCTTTCTGATGTAGGTCGGGAGTCTGAAGATGAAATTGAGGATGAAGAATTACATGCCAGTTTTAGAATATCAGTATTCAAACTACCCATACATTCTTCAGATTCATTGAAGTATGCAGTACTGAAAAAAAAAGAACTAGCTTCTTTTCCTACATATACACAGCCATTTTCTACTACTCATCAAAAACCAGTAATTACAAAACCACACCTAATATTGGAGAAGAATGCAAGAGAGTTTTTTATGATACACAGAACCGGTATAAAGCTCAAAACACTTTATGATATTGATGAATATCACTTAGAACAAAAGAATCAGGAAAGCCAGAAGAAAAGAGAAATGGCTTTAACCATGGCAAAAACTGCCCAAGAAAAAGTCAGCTTAAATGTTCAAGAAATGTTACAGAAAAAAAAAAGGGCTGTACAAAAACAAATGGCAGAAGGTAACATGGCAATTCGGGATGGTTTGTACCAATTTTGGCAGGTCAGATCCAAATACCTTGACAAAGTTAGACAGAGGAGAGCTTTGTTTCTAGAAGAAAAACACAAAAAAACTACAGACCGTTTATTAATTCAAAACTTAAATAATGAGCTCGTTATTTGGGACAAAAATATAAATAAAATAAAGCAATTGAAGAAGAAAAATGATCTCTTAAAAGAGAAACATCTGATAGTTCAGCAAAAACGAGAAACAGGAAAACTTCAAAAGGATTTATGTAAATACATTAAGGAATATAGGTAGGTACAGTTTTGATATAAGTGTTTAAGTCAATTTCTTGTGAATATTGCATACTAAGTGTTGAGATCTAAAAACAGTACTTTACAACATGACATATTCTACTTTGGAAAACAGAAACAACCAAAAATTACAAATATATTGTAATATATTACCAAAGATGAGGCAATAAAACAACTCTATCTTCAGATTTTGTGTTATATCAAAATACAAATCAGTATTAAAAGGATGAAATCAACTTACTTTATCACAGCAAATTGAATGTCTGGCCATCACTAATTTGTAGAGAATACAGAGTTAAGAGCTTAATGTATCTTAACCGAATTATCTTCTCTTATAAATTCTTGCAACGATATTATCTTCCAAAGCACACAAGAATAAGGCAATATAGTGTTCTCCCGAAAGGTTTTATTGAGTTTTATTTATAAACATTTTCAAATAAAGCTGGAGTATCAACATGAAGAATAGAGTTGTGACTTAAAAAAAAGGTGTCTGTCTAAAGACTTCAGTTTTCAATTCTTGTTCATTTTCTTTCTGGTTCAGATACTTGACCTAAAAGCATTCTGATAAATCTCAATAATCTGTGAAGTCATTACTGAGACAGTACCTCCCTGTTTTTGCTGTTGAGTGAGGGAGCATGAAAGAAGAAAGGTGAACTATAAATCTCTAGTTTAGAAAATTTATAAAATACCCACAGGGACACTTAAGAATAAATTAAAAAGAGACTTTTAAAATTAAAAACACTTACATATCAGGTAAAAGCTGGTCATAAGTTTTCCAAAAAATTCTTGTCCATACTTTGAAAACCTGCTGACATCACTCAGGGCAGAATAGTAGGGTGTCCACTGTGAAGTTGAATATCAACTAGCAGGAAGCTGTGGCACAGAAGGAAGTTATCCAATTGTATAATCTCTGCTTGTTTTTATTTTGGTAATCAATTGACCTCCTCCACTACCCTCATCATTAACTGTGGTCTTATCTTGATTTATAAAATTTTCCTTGATTGTGTTATTACAGTTCACTTCCAAATTCATAAGAACAACTCTCTCAATTGTTTAACCTGTACCCCAAAAACCTTTAAACTCATTTTCAAAGATATAACAAAACTCCTCTCATCATTTGGAACTGCTTTACTTCTTAAATTTGAAACTCTGGCATACTTATTTATGTCTAAGATCATTTATTTTTTTTAACTTTTCCTTTACTTTCACCACATATATTCTTCAAAGATAGGCTTTTCATATTTTTATTATCTTTTCATGCAAGTATTTTATAGGATTTTTATGGTATTGTGAAATGGAATTAATTTCATAATTTTATTTTCCAATTATTTGATCCTGGCATATTATTAATTATAATTAGTCATTGTGTTTCTCTTCAGTTCTTTTTAAATTTTTGGGTTTTTTAAAAAACATTTTTTGCACAGTTTATAATTATTATCTGTAGCCATTTCAGTACATTTTTTAGACTTAATTACAGGTGCAATGTCCCTTCTGCCATGACATTTACTTTGCTATATGATTAGACAAGGCTATTATTATCCAGAGATCCAGACACAATAGTTGTTTCTGATTTTCAATGTGTGGTTGTTAAAGTCTAGGAATTCCTCTAAAGACTTCCAATGTATTGTCATTTACTCCTTACTAAATCCATTGAGATGAAATGTCCCTTCTTAAGGATGAAGACAGTGGTGCAGACAGAGCTTAAAATAACTTCTCAAAAATCACACAAACAATAAGTTGTAGATCTGGGATTCTAACCCAAGCAGAATGGCTTCACTTCCTATACTCTTAACCATAAGCCATTGCTTCTCTCTATTCAACTCTCTTCTCATCGCCATATGGATAGCCAGGCTTTTTAAATCCAATTTTACAAAAACAGAACCCTAATCTTTTTCCTTATCTAGTTGTTCTTCCTATATTTTCTGTCCTGATGAATGCCACTGTTCTCTACCCCGAAGAAGGAATGATTAAATTTTAGGCACTCCTGTAAGGATTTTAAATGTGTTAATTCATTTAGTCCTTTACTAAATTCTGAGTTGGATTATTCTCTCCCCCCTCCCACCCCCCCATTTGAAGATGAAGAAAATGAGATAGAGGAAATGCAAAGTTGTTGTCCAAAGTCACTTGGTAATTAATTTTTAGACTTTTTAGACTTAGGCTTCTTTTTTATTTCCCAAGTCTAGATTGTGAGTTCCCTTAAACATATATAAAGAACATGATGATCTATATATGAGTCTGTTTTTCTGGGCTTATCTGCTCTTCTGTTCCTACTAGAACTGTCTGACCCTTACAAATAGAGTGCTGCCACTTCGCAGGGATGCCAAGCTGTGCTACCCTCTGTGCTTTTATTTTAGCACACAAGTCTGTCTTGTCTTCCCTCTGCCTGTTTTCACCATGTTTCACTCAGTCTCCTTGCCTAGTGCTTTCATTATGGTACTGCAGCATTTTATTTATATACTAAAGACCCGTTGCACGAAAATTCCCCTGGCTGCCGGCACTGGTATCCCTCTGGCACCAGGGACCCAGCCCTTCGTTCTGACCGCTGCCTTCTATCTTCACTCCAGCCAGAGTCTTCAGTCTTCATTGTGGCCAGAGCCTTCAGTCTTTGCTCTGATCAAAATGCTGCTCCTGTAGCTTCCTCTGCCCCTCACCCTTCCTCTCATAGCAGGTATCCCACCCCACTTGGCTGCCCCACACTTGCATGTGTGCTGTCCAGAGGCCCAGAACAGCTGAGGGGCAGGGCTGTCAACATCTTTATTGGGTTAATTTGCATACTCAATTCTGATTGGCTGGTGGGTATTGCAAAGTGATGGTCAATTTGCATATTTATCTTTTATTAGTATAGATTTAAATACCTTTATTTCTCTTTACTTTTTATATATTTCTCATAGTCATATCATGTTACATGTATCTTTATATTTATAGAATCTAGGGAATATGACAAAGATTATAATACATAATTCTTGAATGAATGAGGAGGAGTGAATGAGTTAACCTAAGGTCCATGACATTTCCAGGTTTGACAGTGTAACCTTCATCTTTCTCTAATTGAGAGTCTGTATTGGTCTGCTAGGGCTACTATAAAAAATATTGTACAGACTGTGTGGTTTAAACATAAGTTTATTTTTTCATAATTTTAGAGGCTGGATGTCCAAGATCAAGGTGTTGACAGGTTTGGTTACTCTTCAGGCCTCTCTACTTGGCTTGTAGATGGCTACCTCTCACTGTGTCCTCACATGGCCTTTGTCCTGTGTGTGCACATCCTTGTTGTATCTTCATCTTCTCATATTGGATTAGGGCTCACCCATAAGATCTCATTTAAATTTAATTACCTCTTAAAGGACTTATTCTACAAATACAGCTGCATTCTAAGGTACTGCGAGTTAGGACTTCAACATATGTATTTGGAGGGGACATAGTTCAGCCAATAACAGTCCTACACCAAGGAATATTATTCTGATGTAAAAAAGAAAAAAAGGAGCTCTTATCTTTTGCGAAAGCATGGATGGACCTTGAAAGCATTATACTAAGTGAAATAAGCCAGTCAGAGAAACAAATACCATATGATTTTTTACTTATATGTGGAATCTAATGAACAAAATGAACTAACAAATAAAATAGAATCAGAATCATAGAGATCAGGCTGACAGCTATCAGAGTGAAGAGTATTTCAGGGGTGAATGAAATAAGTAAAGGAATTAAGCAAAAAGAAAATGAAAAAAACAAACAAACAAACAAAAACCGGACTCCTAGAAGTTTGGATTTAATGAGGCTTAAGTAAAAGTTCTGCAAATCATGTCATAATCTGGTTTAGATGCCTCTTTAGGAATCTAAGCCATGGTTTGTATAGATTCTGTTATAAAAAATAGAACTATTATAATAATAGCCTAAAATGAATATTAGTGAATGTTACAATAAAATTATATGCAATAAGTGAAGTTTGGTCTTTTCCCCCCTATTTGTATATGTCTATTTTTAATATATCTAATTATCATTAACTATCAAACTAAATATTGTGATTTTAGTAATTTAAAATACCTACATTATCTTTCCTTTTCTTTTTAGGGCTCAAGAAAGGTATAAGAGACACTCTGAAGAAAAATTTGTTTATGATATGATTGTCTTTCAGAAAGCTTGTGAAAGATTACAAGAAGCTAGAGCAAGAATTGAAAGTATGAAAAAAAAGTATTAAAATTCCCAGTGGAATGACAAAATGAACCAATACCAGAGCATATCCAATGGTCATTTTGAATTATAGCTATTATTTTTAATTAAAGGAATTTAAAATAATACTATGAAAGAAGAAATACAAGATGGATTTGTATATAAATCTTAAAAATATAAAGAGTAATTAAAATGTTTATCTTATTGATCATAGTTTAACTTGATCATAACTTAAGTTGACTTGACACCTCAAATGTTACTTATATATCCAGATGTCCAAGGAACAATTAAAACTGATTTTTTATAGCAGGAAATATTGCAAAAGGTGTTACTTATATTGTTTCATATCCTAGTATAACAAAGCTATTTTCAGTTTCTCTGAAAATCTTACCCTGGTTATTTCCATTCTAACTGCTGACTTTTAATAAGACACTGTGTACTTTGATTAGTTTCATTACCCTGCTTTCATATATTTAATTATATTTTCTGTTCATTTTATAAAAACAATATCTGAATTTAAATAAAGTTCTCACCACTGTATCAGTGACTCATGTTTTTTATGAAAATTCAGGAAATTAAAAATATAAAAGAGAAAAACATTGCTATTAACTTTCACAGATATTATATGATTTTGCATATGTATTTTTAGATATTTTCCTTTGCACATATGGGATGAAAATATAATGGGAGAGGACACATGTAATTATACTAGAAGCCCAGTGCATAAAATTTGTGCACTGTGGGGCAGGGGGCTCCCCTTAGCCCAGCCTGTGCCCTCTCATAGTCTAGGAGCCCTCAGGGGATGTCTGCCTGTCGGCTTAGTCCCACTTCCCATTGAGTGGGCCTAAGCTGGCAGTCAGACATCCCTCTCACAGTCTAGAACCCCTTTCCTCACTGCCTGCCTGCTCCCCGCTCCTTACTGCACGGCTCCCTCCTTTTTAGCATTGCCGTGGAGGCAGGAGAGGCTCTTGCCACTGCCTCTGTGCTCGCCAGCCGTGAGCCCAGCTTCTGACTGAATGGTGCGCCCTCTGTGGGAGCACAATGACTACCAGGGGGCAGCTCCTGCATTGAATGTCTGCCCCCTGGTGGTCAGTGCACATTATAATGATTGGATGTCTGGTCATCCTGCCGTAATGGTCACTTAGTCTTTTATTATATAGACTAGAGGACTGGTGCACAAAATTCGTGCACGGGGGTAGAGGAGTGTCCCTCAGCCATGCCTACACAATCTCCAATCTAGGACCCCTTGAGGGATGTTCGAATGCCCGTTGGGATCAGGCCTAAACAGGCAGTCTGACATCCCTCTCACAATCCAGGACTGCTGGGTCCTACCTGCCTTTCTGATTGCCCCTAACCACTTCTGCCTGCCAGCCTGATCACCCCTTAACCACCTAAGCCAGCCTAATTGATGTCTAACTGCTCCCCTGCCAGCCTGTTTGCCCCCAACTTTCCTACTTTGCTGGCCTGGTCACCCCTAACTGCCCTCCCCTGCAGGGTTGATTGCCTTCAACTGCCCTCCCTTGCAGGCTTGGTCCCTCTCAACTGCCCTCCCTTGAAGGCCTGGTCCTCCCAACTGCCCTCCCCTGCTGGCCATCTTGTGGTGGCCATCTTGTGTCCATGTAGGGCAGGATCTTTGACCACATAGGGGCAGCCATATTATATCTTTAATTTTAGTATGTTTCCTGTATTTCCAAAGGCACGGTAGACATTCACTGATGCTTTCCTCAGGTGTAATTTAGTTAAGTCTTCCCTTGGGGGAACTGCCTTAAAATACCTTTCTTAAAGCTTACATCCCCCCCAAAAATAATAATAACATAAAAACTGCTTATATATTTTATTATAAATGTGTATTTCTAAATATTTGAATCATTATTCCCTTTGTGTTGCAGTTTTTTATCTGTCCCATTTATCACATATATTGAATTCTTATATGCTAAATATTTATCTTAGGCAATTCAAGTTTTATTTAAATACACAAATATCCTGTCATATTTTTTACATGTCAATTCTATAAACTCAACATGCATTCCCTCCTATGACACTCCAATGAAAACACCTTTAGTAAAATCACTAATAATCTCCTATCAGTTAAATCAAATTTTGTCCTTGAATATGGAAGCACTGGCTACTATTTTTTCCCCTCTTTGACATATCTTCTTCCACCATATCTTTCATGACACCACATGCTGCTCTTCTTCATATCCTTTCTTACCCTCTGATCTTCTGTGGAGCTCCTATTGCTTTTTCCTGAAATGTTGGAGTTATTCATACTTCCATGTATATTTATTTGATTCATATGTTTTCTGGCTGACAGTACACAGGACCACAGTTTATGACACCACCAATATTCTAACAGATCCTAACAGTGCCTCCTGAGCTCCAAATATATTTCTAACCATCACTGCACATGTTTACTTGGGTGGCCCCGATAGCACCCAAGTTAACATGCTGAAAAATAAAATCACTACTTTTCCTTTCATAAATTACTAGAAGCCCAATGCATGAAATTCATGCATGGGACGGGCTCCCTCGGGTAGGCCTGCACCCTCTTCAATCCAAAATCTCTCTCACAACCCATAACTGCTGGCTCCTAATCGTTCATCTGTCTGCCTTCCTGATCGCTCTGAACCACTCTGCCTGCCTGCCTAATGCCCCTAACTGTTCTCTCATGCCAGCCCGATCACCACCCCTAACTGCTCTCCCCTGCCAGCCTGATCACACCTAACCATCTCTGCCTGCCTGCCTGATACCCCTAATTGCTCCCCTGTTAGCCTGATCACTCTCCCATTGATGGCCTGATGGTCCCTAACTGCTCTCCTGCTGCCAATCTGATCACCCCCTAACCACCTCTGCCTCCAGCCCTGCTCCCATGGCTTTGTCCAGAAGGACATCCAGTCTAATTAGCATATTACCCTTTTATTAGTACAGATTGTGGGTCATCCCTAACATCCCTGTTTACTTCACAACTTATATAATCAGATCTTGGCCATTTTTTATCCCTGCATTTGCAACTCTTCTCTGAATCTCCAATGGCAATGTTTAGTTTAGTTTTTACTATTTCTTTTCTCAAATCTGTCTTGCATATCCATCTAAAAGACAAATTTACTCTTTGGTAATGACCCCTTTAGGATAAAGTCAAAACCATTTTACTTAGCAGGGAAAAAACCTTCTTCATGATCTTGCCAGCCCCTGCCTTTCTAGCTCTCTCCTGCTAGCAGAACTCACAATTCCAATATTCCAGCTGTTGAACTATTTATAATTCTCAAGTTCTTTTGCTTGGAGTACCCATACAACTTCCTTGTTTACTTGGAGAAATGCTGATTGTTCCAGAATCAAGGGCCATGCTCTTTAAGAATTTTTTCCAACTGTTCCATGATAACACTTGTTTCATGGCATTATGACAAATTGATTACATACTGCTCCACTCATGTGATTGTAGATTCTCTATATATTATTTGTTTTTGTATTATCAGTGTTAAAAATAAAAAAAATATTTTTAAATGTTCTCTATTTAATTTTTGGATGTTACAGGAACAAATGATTGCCCCTTAAGATATGTGTTTTTATTACATTTCTGTGGCCTTTGTAGGGACAGCTGATTGATGAATATATTATATAGACTGATAAAATTAGATACAGGCATTCAGTAGCACAAAAATACTAAGGAAAAAAAACCCCACATTCTTTTCTGCCTTATATTTTGAATTAACTATTTCAACTGTTCTGCTGAGAATCAACTTTTAGGTTAAAAGGCCCCTTTATAGTAATTTCAAAAAACTCCTACTCTTCCTTCTCTCACATATTTAAAGGGAAACAAACAAACTTGAGAGATGATGTTTTTTAAAGAATCTTGCGTCTTCTCAAAATGTGGTTCTTTAGATAAAGAAGAAGAGTGATTATGAGAGTTTAAATAAAGAATGCAGTACTTCATCACAGATTTGGAAAGAGTCCCTAACACTACCTGCATGCATAATTGTTAACTGCACTTTTCCTGGCCTCGCCTCACCCCTCCTGCTGGCATTCTGCTGCTAGAATGAAGATTTCAGTCAGGCTCCCTGTAAAAATGTCAGCCACAATCATGCCACAACCGTAAGATGTACAAAATACAGTGCTTTGAAAAAGAGAAAAACCACCTGCTAATCCTGCAGACATCAGTTTTCTTCTATTTAAAGGGCCAAAGAATGCTAACTCCAGAAAATCCATCAGCACACGTTTTTAATTATTCAGCTAATTTGCTTCAGAATACAACACGTGGCCTCTGAGATGAGTTGGATCTCAACAATATGGCTGATTTGTGTTTCAGAAATCTGTAGAAAATGACCTTGTACATCTTACTTTGTCATGTGGTAAAAGTGTCTATTCTATTCATCTTACTATATGGGGGAAACACTCATAACACATCATGAAATGTACATACTGGGTGTGTCCATTGTCTGTGGGGTTATGAATGTGTTTCCGTGGATGTATATATACACAGGTAACAGTGTGTATGTGAAAATGAAAGCTACTGGAAATTATTGAAGCTATGAAAAGCAGTGGCTCAAGACATTCAGCCAAAGGATTGCCTAAATAGGGAAAATACACATGACAATTTCCCAAGCCCGGAAGAGAGGTGTTTTTATCTAGTTTACTTTTAGAAAGTGAACTAAATAACTAAAGAAAACAAAAAGATAATGCTGAGGGGAAGGTAAGAGGTTTATGGATGGACACTTAACCACTGGCCATACTGGCTGGGCTGGGCAGTCTCTTTAACCAATCATCACAAGGAAACTACATTTCTGATCTTTATATATGCTTGGAAACTTAAGGTCTATGTCATATCCTATATAATAAAGAGGTAATATTCAAATTCACCCTCATACCCTCACATCACAAGATGGCCACCCCCACATTGTCACAAGATGGCCGTACCATGTTGTCAGAAGATGACCATCCCCATGTGATCACAAGATGGCCACCACCACATTGTCACAAAATGCTGGCAGGAGAAGGCAGTTGGGGGCAACCAGGCCTGCAGGGGAAGGCAGT